TATTTTATTTGTGAACATACTGTACAGAGGGGTTACAATTACATGGGCAGGATAATGCGTACATTTCTTACCAAGCATTGCATCCTCCTCCTCTGTTTATCCTTCACATCCCTTCCCAGCCTCCCCCCTCCCCCCCAATCCCAATCCTTCTCCTTCACCCCCCTTCCCCCCTCCACCCCCCGCACCGATGTTGTAAAGCTCGTTTTGGACATGACAACTTGTACTTCTCAGGCAATAATTATTTTTATAAATAGAAAGAAAAAAACTATTTAAAAAAGTCTAGATAAGTACCAGGACATAATAAATTATACAGATCTCTAGGCATTCACACACAGTGGGAGCAAAGGAGAATGCTCTTAGAAGAGGAACAGAAAGGCACAATGTTTATGTGCATCTGACCATACCAAATAATATCAATCAAAATGAACTTCAGGATGGATATGAGGTTTTTTCTTGATTTTCTTTTCTTTTTTATCTGTTTGTTCATTTATATGTCTTAGGGAGTGTAAGAGGAGGCACAGAAATGGAGGTGCAAAGGGTAAACAAATGTAGCCATGGTACTTACTGGACACTATGTTTAAAATGAACTATACAACTTATGGATAGGGATAGGAGGGAAAAACTAGGAGATAGTGAGGGAAAGGGTGACACTGTCCAAAAAAAAAAAATGTACTCTTTACCTGACTTATGTAATTGTGACCCCTCTGTACATCACCTTTATAATAACACTTAAAAAAATTACCCCCCCAATCTAGATTAGAAAACTGAGATATATATACACAGGCATCCTTAATCAATCAACTGTGGCCTGAAGTCACAAAAAGATCACTCACTCAGGGTCGTCTTGAAAGTCCTGGGGTTCTGCCAACTCATCATACTCTGCTGCTGCATCCTTGCCAGCTAGAACCAGCTCTTTGGGAGGCACCACCACCTGGAGAGCACAGAGAGGCCTGCTTCAGAAGGGATCATGTGTGGTCGGACCAAGTCTTCACGATACACTCAAGTAAAGCTAGCTTCAGGACACATAAGCATACTCCTTCCACAGAGTTTAAAAAACACTGCTTGGTAATGTAATATAGACATTCCTCACTAAAGTATAAGACCAAAGAAATTTATGGAAAGAATAAAGTCAAGTGACTCCTTTAGCTCACCAAGGCTGCAATGGGAAATTCAACCAGTGAGAAAGAATAACATTCCAATTGTATCTTTAATATATTTTTTTCTTATCTTTTGCTTTGTTTTATTTTCTTATGTGAAGAACGCATGAGTGTTTGCTATACTTAGAAAGTATCTTTGGAAAGTCAGGTACTGGTGGGTTATGTCTGTAATCCTAGGTACTCAGAAAACAGATCTGAGGATTACAATTTCAAGCCAGTTTGGACAGGAAAGTCTGTGTGACTCTTATCCTCAGTTAGCCACCAAAAAGCCAGAAGTGATGTGTGGCTCAAGTGGAAAAGTACCATCCTTAAGCAAAAAATCTAAGGGATAACCTTTAGGCCCTAAGTTCAATCTCCTGGTACTGGAACAAACAAATCTTTATAGCTGGGTGTTTGTGGTTGATCTCTGTAATACTAACTAAGCAGGAAGCTAAGATCAGAGGATCACAGTTCAAAGCCAGCCAGGACAGATAAAAAATTTAAGAGATTCCATTTCCAATTGACCAACAAAAAGTCAGACTGGCAGTCTGTAGTAGACCACTAGGTGTGAACAAGAAAACCCAATGACAGCATGAGGCCTAATACCAGCACATACATACACAATTTTCTTTGGAGTACTTAAAACTATTCACTTTTCTTTATTTTTTTTCTTTTTTTTAAGAAAATATAAGAGAGGGCTGGGAAGGTAGCTCAGTGGTAGAGAGAGGTCTTGCCTTGCATGCATGGGCCCTGGGTTCGATTCCTCAGCACCATATAAGCAAAAAGAAAAAAGCCGGAAGTGGCGCTGTGCCTCAAGTGGTAGAGCACTAGCCTTGAGCTGAAGAGCTGAGGGACAGTGCCCAGGCCCAGAGTTCAGGTCCCATGACCAGATACCCCCCCCCAAAAAAAAAAAAAAAAAAGAAAAGAGAAATGGCAGTTCTAACATAAAAATATATATAGTTTTCCAGTGATACTGAGGTTTGAACTCATGGCTTCACACTTGAGCCACACTTCCAGCCCTTTTAATTTTAGGTTATTTTTCAGATAGGGTAACATACTTTTTGTCCAGACTGGTCCCCAATCATGATCCTCCTACCTATGCCTCTCATGTGTCTAGGATTGCAGGTATGCCCCATCAGGCCCTGCTTGTTTGAGATGGTTCTCATTAACTTTTTGCCTAGGCTGGGCCTCAAACTGCTGTCCTTACTATCTCTGCTTCCTTCCTGAGTATCTGGGATTACAGGCTTGAGCCACCACATCCAGTCTCCTTATCTCCTTTTAAAAATTCATATGGCTCTTCTGAATTCCCTATGACACAGAATATAAGAGACATTAATTAAATATTAAGATGGTGACTTTGTGTTAGTTGAATAAATAAAACATGGCCTGAATATTGTGCCAGTCACAATATTCTAGTACTGGGAATTTTAGAACAAGAACTTTGCTCTATAGATCATGTATTAGTGATACATAATTCAGCATGATACTCATAACAAATATATATCCAAAAAGATAAAACACTTACCTTCTTCTGACTCTTTTCAAAAAATATAGCACTCATAAGCAGTTCCAGTTAGGACAGAGACAGAATAAATAATTTCTGATGCATAGACCTAGCTTAAAGAATTTGCTATCTTTCTCTTCCCACTGCTTTGTCTTACATCTGGATCTATAACAGGTGTGGTTGATATTCCTATTAGTCTTTCAGGTAACAAAAACCAAGGGTATTGCAACATAAGGGTCTAAAGAATATATAACTATTTTCCATGACCACAAGTACATCTAGTGTCCCTATGTCATTATATAGTATATAGTATATAACATTCCTAAGCACAAACATTTATAACTGTGTGTGTGTGTGTGTGTGTGTGTGTTTGGCCAGTTCTAGGGCTTGAACTCAGGGCCTGGGCGTTGTCCTTGAGCTTTTGTGCTCAAGGCTAGTGCTCTACCATTTAAGCCACAGCTTCATTTCCTCGTTAGTTATTGGAGATCAGAGTCTCACAAACTGCTGCTTGGGCTAGCTTTGAACTGCAGTCCTCAGATCTTAGCCTCCTGAGTAGCTAGGATTACAGGTATGAGCCACTGGCACCTAAGTTCTTTTACAACTATTAATACAGCAGCATATGGAGAATGCTAAATCTGAGAATCTGAAGAATACAGAAATCTTCGATAGGGAGCTCTTAGGTTATGTCTAGGAATTTGGGCTTTTATGCTGAACATAGGAGAGATGATTAAGTGATTGACATGCAGTGCAGAGTTAGATTTAGATCAGCCATCTTGGTAGCCACAGAGATGAGAGGCTGAAATGGAGATGGGGCTATTCCAAAAACAATGAGGTCAGGTAGGAAGTTACTATCAAGAGACTCTGGAAGAAATAATGAGACTTTCTAACAGGGTGGGGGTAATATACTTGGGGAAAAAGTAAAGCTTAAGAGGTGAAGAGATGAGAGATGATATGACATCATTTAAGCTAGGTCAAATGAGGCAAAGGCTGGATCTGGGATAAATGCCCCTACCTTAGCAGTGCTGTTGACATTATCAGGGTCCCCCTCTTCACACTCCAACAGAGTCACATGGGTGAGGTTTTCCACGGGATTCGTAAGAGTCAGGAGAACCTGGCTCTCCTGGAGAATAAGCAAAGACTCACTTAGACATGTTCCAAGCAGCATCCCAATTAGCTGCTATACCAAATATTTCACAAAACCCTCCTTCCATTCCTCCAGAGCAATGACACCTATCTGTACCTCTACACCACTGTACTTCCAGTGTTCACTGAACACTATTCTTTTCTATTTTAAGTTATATATTCTCCGAGGTTATTATTGCACTAAGGAAATAAAACAGATCCCATAAAAAGACTCAGTTTTTAAATCTAGAAATTCTGGGGAATGTGTATTGTATTATCTAAGCAACTCTATTTAAAGTTTGTAGTTCTTATTCCTTTAGGGTTACCACTGAAGAAATAAAAAGGAGGGTGTGTTGCCTGTCAGCGAGCGGAGTGTCGCTCGTGGTCGGAGCAGTGTAGCCTCTGGTGAAGCATGGCTAAAAGTTTACGGAGTGAGTGGAACAGGAAAATGCGTGCTGAGAAGAGAAAGAAGAATGCCCCAAAGGAACTAAACAGACTTAAAAGTATTCTCAAAGTCAATGGTGATGTTTTAATGAAAGATATTGAAGAAATAGCAACTGTGGTGGCACCCAAACATTGCCAAGAGAAAATGGATTGTGTGGAGAAGGATGAAAATGATGACATGAAGATGGAGACTGAAATTAAAGAGAAACAAAAAAACTCTTTTAGACCAGCATGGACAGTACCCAGTATGGATGAACCAGAGGCAGAGAAAACGGCTGAAGGCAAAGTGAGAGAAAGGAAAGGGAAAAAACAAAGCAAAAGCAGCAAAGGATCTGGCCTGGTAGCCTCTTAAAAACTTGAAAATGTATCAATGGGACAGATGTTTGATTAAAATGTATACCTTGATTTCATAGAGTGAAAACTATTTGTTTTTAACTGGGTTTATTTTCTTCCACTTACACCCTCAAATAACTTCTTGAATTTCCTTTGATGAGTCAAAGCTATATTGATGTTTCCAGTGTCCAGGTATTATAAGACATCACAGTTCAACATGGTTGAAATCATTTTGACAATTTGGTAACATCAGTGAAGATCAAACAAATGATATACTGTTGAACTGACTGAACCCATGTATTTAAAAGGGTATTATAATATTTAAAAGTATGACACCAGATTGTATGAACAGTACTTGCTTGGTGGTTTTAATCTGTATAATTCAGAATAAAATATTTTCTATATAAGAAATAAAAAGGAAACCCTTGTAAACAAAATATATGATCTATGTGCTAGCCTCAATGTGTTAACATACATAAAAAATGAAACATAAAGACTAAAATTTTTTCAAGACTTTTCTTTTTTCTTTTTATTTAGGTCTGAGATTGGGACTCAAACTCAGTACCTGCCACTTTTGCTCACTGGCTAGCTCTATCAACTGAGCCACACCTCCAATCCCTTTTCAAGAATTCTAAAAGCATAATTTACTTTAGTTTGATACTCTTGAGACTAATAAAATACTCTTCAAATGTACATTTTTTTATTTTTTATTGTGAAAATATTGTACAGAGGGGTTACAAAGTATACATTTATTCTTCTAAAGTATTCCCTTGAGGTTAGAAAATACTCCTGCAAATAAAGAGGGACTATATTATTTTCTAACATGAAAGGAAAGAGCTAAAGAGACTGCCACAGAGCAGTCAACAATTCACTGGTATGCATGTGTGAACAGGAGGAAGGAGCATGAATGATGTCCCAAGGAAGAGAGGGACTATGGTAAGGAGACAAGTTGATTCTTTGTACTGATGCACTGACATGCCTGACACCATGGGACTTCCCTTTTCCCACTTACTGCTGCATCTTTACAGGATGTGCGTCCTGCTTCTACATACATTTCAAAAGTGCTCTTGGCAAGATTCCCAGATTAAAATGTATGTCACAGTTCTTTTATCCTTCTAAATGGCTTGTCTTTTCTATACCTTGCTCACTGCATCCCATGGGAAATAAACATACACAGCCACCCATATCTGTATGTTTGGCCCAGACAGTTTTTTCTGTTGATAAGCGAAGTACTAACCTTCATGTAGCGAAGGTTTGGAATTGACATGATTCTCACTTCTGGAATATAATTGCTGCCAATAAGTAAAAAAACAAAAACAAAAACCATTAATTTCATTGAAATCTCTTGAAATTACTACTTTTAAAAAGCAAGTATGAGAGTGGGGGAGGAGGGGAGTATGGGAAGGGATGGGAAGGGGAAACAACGAGGAGGCAACAATGCTAGATAACAAATGTACTCGTTATCTTGCCCATGTAATTGTAACTCCTCTGTATGGTATACACACACACACACACATACACAAAAGCAAGTATCATAAAGAATCTATATGGAAGAAATAGTTAAGTATTGTCAAAGCTCATAGGATTCACAAACTTTATTGACCATGATAATGACAATTTGCCTTGTGAAGGTTAAAATGTGTTTGTGACTATCACCATCCCACAATACTGTGAAATATGTGAAATTTATGTAATCACCTAATCTCAAAAAAAAAAAAAGCAAGTATGACAAAGAATTTATGTGAGACTATGTAGGGACTATGTTTTTGTTTTTTTTTGGGGGGGGTCTGGTCATGGGGCCTGAACTCTGGACCTGGGCGCTGTCCCTCAGCTCTTCAGCTCAAGGCTAGTGCTCTACCACCTGAGCCACAGCGCCACTTCCAGCTTTTTTCTTTTTGCTTATGTGGTGCTGAGGAATCGAACCCAGGGCCTCAGGCATGCAAGGCAAGC